CAAGATAGGCTACGAGATGTTCGCATCAGCTCGAGCCCTTCAAATCGTGAGGGTCAAAAAAAGTGGCTATCACATGCATCTACGGAGTACAGAAAATGATCTTCAAGGTGCACCAATTTAGCTTTAGTACAGACCCACCACCGATTCTCTTTTCATCAACTGACTTGAGGTGGGAAATTAATTGCCAAAGTATCACACCTTGATGGCACCACTTCGTCCTCACGACAAGTTCTCTCTCCCACTCCACACACAGCTCGATGCACAAACGTGCGTGTATTTGCGTAGTGGATGGCGAGTGTAAGTGATTGCCTCGACTTTTCATGCAGTGCACTCACACTGCAGTCAAGGTCCACATGTTCAACATTACACCACTCTCAAAGGTTTGGAGGAAAAACTTTACACCTTAAAAACAGATTGGAAAAAAGTACTCTTTCACACCCTTATCAGTCAACAAATCACACAATGCGATACCTCATTCCCTCTAACCTCATGCCATCGCATTACTTACCATTAAGACGATGTGTACTTTAATAATAGTTCAGGTTGGTTCAAGGACCCATGAATGGTAGGTACTTATTAACCGTCTTTCATTGTGTTTATCCACCACGACGGTATGTGGATACGCCGCATTTGGTGAGAACGGAAGAGGCCCGAGGGGCTAATAAGAGAGCACTGCATCGGCTCCTGCTCCACCCTTTTCCCACAGCCACTTTGGCACTATGATAGGAGTAGACAGTCATGCGAAGTGAGTTACGATACGTTGCCTTATGCTCCAAGGGCAATTAGTTCCGCAGAAGTAGAATTTACGGGTATGTTTTCTTTTAGTTAAAACGATGGTGGGAAATAGGTATTCGGTACTTATGACTATCTGCCTTCAATGTATCAAGTTGTAGGGAATGGCTATTCAAATTGTCTTTACTTTCAACACCTGCTCCAATCATCACCCTAAATGAAGCAAAGTCAGGACCACAAGCTCAAAATCACTCAAACGAAACGGCAAAAAGGTGAATAATGAATGAGGAGAGACACGAAAACCTTACACTTCCTCTTGACAACAAGTGGGAGGGGGAAGTCTGAAGAGATGAATGGGAAGCATTAAAACATCAACAACCAGTAAATTGGAGCATAAATTCACCGAATTACTCAAACTAACAAAATTCAGTCAATGAAATGGGAAATGGAAGCCCATCTCCCAATAACACCCAACGAATAAACTGATTTAAGACTAGTGCTTGCAAAGTAAAACTTGACAGAATGCAATATCAAATTCTACGACACGCAATACTGCCATTTGGCCTATGTGAGTGGGAAATGACCGCTCCCGTCCCACCAATACGTGAAGTCTACGTGATTACTGGTTTGGTGGTCAGGATAGGGCACTTCTCCGACAGCTCAAAACTCAAACTGTGAGGAAATGAGAGGGGAAGGAGCGGGGATTACACGAGGTTCTTCTTACACAATCTGCGCTTCTGATCTTGAAAATGTCCTACACACACCACCCTCAGCGGGCTTACATTTTCTCGAAGGTGATAAAAGAAAGACAAATTCAACTTACTGAAACAATTTCGTAAGACTCATTCACTCCTTGAGTTGCAACAAGGTTGTCCAGGTAGCTCCAGTTGAAGGCCCATACCAAACGATTCATGAAGGTTATCTCCACTGGATAGTAGGCCAAACCGTCCGGCACTTGCAAAACATAACGGTATGCGATTGCATAGTTCTCTATTTTCTGTGAACGCCTAAAGAAAGAGCGGATGAAACTGGTGTAATGCAAAAGTACATCGAGTTGGGAAAATTCACAGCACCATACAGGTGGAAGGAAAGAGTACGCCAATAAAACCTGCGTGTGGAATCGGTAGATGAGGAAAAAAACCGAACGTCCAAAAGTTGATGGGTGATTTCAAATAACAACATTCCATCAAACTCAGACAGCTACAGCACTCCATCCATCAATCACTACCTATAGCATTTAACAGGCAAAAGTAGTTATATTTGGAAAGCAGAAGATGGATCAGTCGATTCCACTCGACAAACGCCTTCGTGCTGCCTCAGAGAGTTACTTGTAGAAACGGATTACTCACGTCGATTAGTAGTGCGGACCGAAACCGGGTATCCGCATCAGACTGTAGTACCGGCTTCTCGTTTCAATGAACATTGCTTTTTAATATTAGTCTAAAAAACAGCCAGTTACATACCTCGAGACTTCAATCTTGCTATCTCCAAATCCGGTTGTGAGAGCTATTAACGACCCCCAAGGCAGCATTCTTCACATGTTTTTATTTTACAGAGTGGAATAATAGGTTGGCACAGGTGCCAGCACTGTTTGCTTCAATGGCTTATAACTAGTAGGCACTTATTAAGTGTCTCTGGTTTTTACCCACTCTACGACGGTGTGTCGTACTTGTTGAGAACGGAATAGACCTGACAGGGAATCAAGCCAACCTCCATCACAATGGAGAGGCATCTCACCCTATTTACGCAGCATTGGGGCGAAGGACACAAAGTACGCACAATCTCATCTGCTGTAGGAACGACAGACCACTACTGCATCAAATGTCAATTCAGTCCTCTCGTTTCACCTCTTTGTGCGTGATCACTGTTGAGAAAGGTGTGTTTCAACACCGATCAACCGACCGACTCGTGATGAGGCATTGCTTTCTGATGGTAAAAATTAACTTGTCTCATTATCACACGCCTTTTTTCACTTTGCTTGTCCGCGAGCGAACTTTCGTAGGCGTGTGTAAAAACTCTCTTCCTGCTCTCACAAAGGCGGCCACATAATGCAACGCCAATGCCCCAGACTACTGCAAAATTTAAACAATGCAAAAGATTTTGCTTTGCAACGCAACTGGTCTGATTGAGGTGAGATGGAGCGTGATGGAGTGCAGCGTAAATACTCATTCCTCCAAGCACTAAGCAATGATCGGCGCTTTTCCAACGCAGTAGCATTGAATAACAACGCAATTACACACTAAATGTCGAGATAGGTTCGGGTCTTTGGAGCCAGTCCTTTATCCTACCTTCCAGAGGCAACATCTCTCACAGATGTAATGTTAACAATTGCCTTTTTCCTCACTAATCACTTCAATAAGGTGGTAAAGTTAGGCGTGGTCGTTCATAAAGCCTTGTTCGTTGGGTAGTAAACACTCCCAAAAAATTGAACAATTTCGACTTCTAACGAATCTATTTTGGCTACGAGCTCAAGGCATGTGGCATAAAGAATTCAAGGAAAAGATACTTGGCCTGATATTTGGTGATGGTGATGGTCTCATCAGGTTGAAGTGTCACCGAGTGGAAGAGCGATCCCATGCTCAGTCGATAATTTTTCGATTTCTAAAAAAAAATCAAACAAAACGTCCCTTTTTAGCAGTTGTCAGTGAGGGCGATGGAAATGAATGGTGAAACAACTACAAAAAAATGATTATTTCACTCTGCCCACTTGGGGCAGAGAGTCGGAGGCAGCGAATTGAAATGTTTCAAGTGTAAAAATATCTAATGGGCTGTGTGCATAGCTCCTCTTTTGCCACCTTTTAAAAAACTGCTCCTAATTTTACCTACCATGAGGCGTCCTCGGAAGACAGCTCGCAGCCGACCGTGATGGAAGGGATGCATTAAACAAGTCATGCGTTTAATTAGACTGGTCGGTTATTGGGGAAAAACTAGCACCAAGTGTGGATGGCTAATGTGCAGGGGTGCATAAAAGGAAGACCGGTGAGGCTGACAATGGCAATGGAGAACAAACACACAAAACACGGCACGGACCATGTCTGGGCTCCAACAATCCAACCCAGTCATTCAGCGCCTGCAGGGGGAAAAACTTGAACACTGCACGCCCTTCAAAACCTTAACTTGGCCAAAATTAAGCGGACAAAGAAAAGGCGTGAGGCTGTACCATACGAGTGATGTAGTGGTTGTGCGACTTAAAACGCCTGGAGGAGCTCAGACGACCGGGTTAAACATCAATGAGAAAATCATGAAGTCGTTTTCATTTCAATACACTTGAGGTGCAACTATGGTGGTGTAATTAAGTGGATTTTTTCGTCTCCACAAGAAACTACCATCTTGACTGAATCAGGAGTGCAGGCACGAAAGTATTTAATGCTATCAAGCATTGCGTGATAGTACTTTCTTCGCCTTCACTTACAGTTGCAGTCAAACCACACATAGGCGGCATCCTGTTTTTGATCTTTTTAAAAAAAATGGGAAAAAAGCGGTCATAATCGCCAAATCAGTTTGACAGATGGATGGAGATGGTAACAACAAATTTTCGTGCCTTCCAATCCAAGCGCTGGCATTTGTTGTAATGACTACACCAATCTTTCGATGTCTGTACGCCTGTGCTCATACTATTTCGACAGCAAACGCTGAGGCAATAACTTTCCTGTACCCTCCTCTACTGAGGCTAGGGCTGGACGTTTGAAGGCACTCCCACCCATCATGCCGGTGCTAGTACTTCACAAAACAGAAAAGGTGACTAATGTCATGGAAGGAAAACCACAGTGCTGCATGAAATACCCAAATCCAACCTGAGAAATAGCTGCAATTCAAGGAAGTTAGTCCCTCTAAATCGTCCCAAGAGTTTGAGTTTCCGTGAGTTTATTCCCACTAGTGTAACTCACACCGTTCTCCCACACCGCCTCATCGCAGCACGCAGACGAGACCACAACCTGGGAACCACACGGCCATGACGGCCACTGTAAACGCAGATTTGTTGACGGAATGCTTAAATGGCTCCCCGACAAGCAAGTGCGCGTCCCATTCCTTGCTTTTACCAACCCACTGTACATGCGGATAACGATGGCTTTGTTTGAATGGTTTTTCTATCTGTTGCTGCAAGAACGCACACAGGTATTGTTGCTGTTACCTGATACCTGAGTGAACGGTGAGTGGAACTAATCGTCAGCTATTGGTAAGTTGCAAATGCAACCAAATCAGTTTGCCTTCGAAAGCCCGAACACAAGTGAATTGTTCAATTAGCGTCCATCCCGAAGGAACGATCATTTCAACAGCCAAGGTCAATGAAATGACCCACTTCAATAGAACCACTAATGTGACGAAACTGGCATACTCAATTGTGAAGCCTTTCTGACAGGCCCAACTGCCTAATTCGTTTAATCGTAGCAACACAAATCACAGGCAAATATCATCCAAATTTAGACCAGTCTGCAAATCGAAATTGCCTTCAGTGCCACTACTTCAATCTCTCATCCCTAATATTGTGTCGCCGATTTGCGTCACATCTGTGCACACCCATTGGCATCTGGAGGACTTTGAATTTGATCTCAGCTATCTCGCCTGACACAAAAGGACACGGCAAAACAGAGGGATTTAAAGGAGAGATCAGTTGTCTGCACCTTTTAAGTGGTGTACGCACGGTGGGGCAAAAATTAAAGTTTCTATTCCAGGTATTAGAAAGGAAAACTACCGTTTTCCACTCCAGGCCGGTAAAAACTTCACCTTTGTAGTATAGCTAACATGAAGGAGCACTAACTATCAAATACTATGGTACGTCAGGGCTACAAAAGACCACTGCCAAAAGACTTCCACGTAGAGCATATGAAAGCAAAGTGGGAATGGCTTCAGTTAAATTGCACGGCTATTGCAAGTTAGCAGAAATACAAAGGTGTACTATGTACGGTCCCACAGCCTCCATTCACAACCGAATGCTCGCGGTTTTGGCATGTAACTATAAAGATGTAGAGTGTTTTGCCCTTTACTATGCTTTTATAACGCAATTAGTTGTTTATTGCTTAGCGCTTGGTTTTGGGAGAGCCCCACAATTGTACCTGCCCAGTGGACGTTTCAGCCTTAAGAGCTGAAGCCAGCCGGCCTCAAGCATTAATTCAAGTCGACAATAGACTTTCGGTGCCAGTAACGCTTCTTTTTCGCGTTTAGAAAGGTGTTGCGACGTTGCACGGTTTTCGATTTCGATTAAATGACTGCACTTTTGTGTGAGGAAGAGAGTTGTACCGAATGCTGAGCATTAGGGACAAAAAATGTACCTGAGAATCAAAAGTGACTTGGTCAGACCTAAATTGACAATAAAAGGGAAACTCCCGGGGACAGGGCATAGGGAAGTCGTATTTGGTCTGATTCAGGACATTTCAGTGGCACAAGGGTGCCGAGGCAACTGACAGAGGAGAACATCCAAAACCTCCTAACACCTGTTCTCGAACTCCGACTTATTTTATGAAACCGAAATGCCATGTTTGAGGTGTAGAGAAACCTTTTGAAAGGTACTTAGTCAGTGAAAATACAAGTGGTAAAAACTCATTCGAGTTTAGTTGTCAGAATAAAATCGTGCGACAGCAAACCTGTTTCTGGCACTACGTGGTCACGGAGGCCTATTGAAACAGGAATGAAGTCAACAACAATCAAATTCCAAAATAACACATTTTCCTACAAATTCTTCATGATTTTACTCGGTAGCAGTTCCATACAAAGGGCATAAACTCGTGATTAATCTGCCAAACTTATGCGCGAATTCACCAACACGTGGTCTTGACGTTAAATGACGCACACAGTGGAGGGAGACGCAAGCCTTCAAGTAAATCGGACCCGAGGAAGCCTTTGGAGGGACGTACAGACGGTGAGATGAGGAACAGAAAAGGAGGGAAGAAAAGAGTGGACAAAGCTGCTTCTGACTCATTTTTGTGTCTTAGTTTAGTTTGAAGGTTGCTCATCACTCTGACGCCTTGGAGAAGCACAAATCATGACTCAGTTAGTTGTTTAAGATTGAAAAAAAGTTTTCTTTGCAGTTATTAAATGGCATCGGCATGGTTGCTTAACCCAGCGCCAAGGCGTAAAACAAGTTGAGACAGTTTGCACAATTCGGAGTTCAAGAGCCTCCAATGAGTAGACAATTTTGTAAAAATTTTAGTGACTTACAACAACGATCATTACGGGTCACTTCAACTCAGTACTTTGAATGCGGAAGCCTTTTGCACTGTTTCAGTAGGCAAGTAAAAACAGGAAAAAAAACAGCCTAAGCAAATTTTTGGCGAGCAACTGCATAATTCATGGTGCAGCGCGTAGAGGAGGCAAAACCGCCTATTGCTCATTCTTTGCCATCCAAAATCAAGTGCCACTGCAGACACGTTAAGTCGAGACTCACGTGCTAAACAACAACTTTGAGCCAATAATTAATGGCAGGCTACGGTGCAAGTTAATGACATCTACACTTCTCCAAAACTTGTGAAAGCCAAGCAAGTGAGTCCAACCTGCATTACGGATGGCAGACTGGTAACCTCAAGGACTAGCACCGAGAGGCTAACTGACCGACTTGGGGCGAGAAATTGGTGTTGGGTAGAAAAACTCAAACATTGAGCATGCAAACTAACTCATCAAGATAAAACTGCATCTCCACAACAGGTTCCGCCCACCTTGTGCGTCTGCAGGTAGGCGCATGCGTGTGGATACTGTGTGCCGTTGTTGGACGGCAGATGCAGCTGAACACTGACTTTTCACTTAATGAAATCCACACAACCAGTGTGTACACATTGCACACAATGGCAGCTCAAAAGTGTGCAAGAAAAAACTTCCTGTTCAAAAAGAGGTCTGGACAAAGGCCCCTCCCACTCCTCGACGAATCAGCTCACCGGAGCTAATCATCACAGCACAATCCCGTACATTACTACCGATGCAAAATCTACCAGCAGCACGTGATTGGGTCGAGTGAGAGGAGAGTAAACTATCTCCATTATCTCTGTCCCCATCCTTATCCACCTTATTTCCACCCCCCACCTTCATCACCCTACTTTACCAGTGAAGACTCACGTGATTGCATGAAAAAGAGAATGGACGGGCAGGAGATGCAGTAAAAGGTGAACAATAATTGGTTGAGGGAAAAATGCAGTAGTAGGTTTGAGACGCATTGCCATGATGGCCTTGGGAACCGATTTACTTGCATTCATCTCCGCTAAAACAATCCACCTCGAGGGATTCGCCACAATTTCTCGCTGCCATAGCTAAAAATGAAGTTGTACTACCGGCACACCTTTCTCATCCATAAAATGTACCTTATACGAGAACAAATTTCCATCTTCAGCACATCACAACGGAGCCACGATCTTGTTTAATGACCTTAAAAGGACAATGAAATGGAAATAGCCTTGATATGCGTTAAGGCACGGTTAATTACTACTTATTCATTCTCCGTTTCTTGTGTGACCTCGTCAAGTTAAACCCTTTTGAATACGCTGAATAGAGCAGAATTTTAAGCATAGAAATTTAGTTGTTATGATTGTCTCACCGAGTGGGATGTGCCACAGAGAGGGTGGTTTAATGGAGAACAATTTGAGCAGGACAATCACGCTTTTCAGGTGCCTTAGAACAATGGGATGCGCATGAATGGAGGACTGGAAGTGAAAAACAAAAAAAGAAGATTCAACATTTCGAAGTTGTATACGGATTTTGAAAATGAAGTGTACAAACCAGTCGCCATTCATTGACCTCTGCATACGTGAGGCAACAAACAAACCCGAGTTCCGCGTGATCTCAGGAGGCCCCTCAACTTCTCCTCACGTCGTCAAGGCCTATCAATGTGTTGCAAGGCGTGGCAGTTTCATCTTTATGTAGCAAAGCTTCTGGTAATATGACAGCAGAGACAAAGT